CGACTACGGCTCCAGGGCGCTAGTCATTAGGACACGTACACGAAGACTTCCCAGTTGTTATCGACAAAGTCAAGCCGGCTCCAGTAAAGGTTTTTGACAGTCTTGGTATCTCAATGTACTTTTTATTATATTTGAGGTGTTTTATACTTTCGGTGAATTTATTAATAGATCTCACTCATTTTTGTAAAAAAGAAAATCGCTCTGCGCACCAGACGTGGTAGGAATCTCAAGGCAGCTGCCGTCTCCTTCCTCGCTTTCCCCTTTGCAAATCACGATTCAACATCTCGAACGCCCCCGCCGGCGTGAAACGCCCCGCTGCTCGTCACATCCTCACCGGTGAGCTCCTCTACACCAAGCACAGCACCCCTGCTCGGCGCGCTGAATCCCGTCGGTAGCACAGCTCGCGACGCCGTACTTTGCCGAGATGCAGCCAGCAGGTTAATATCGTGTAGCTAGGACACATCCGGCGAAGCCGAGCTGAGGAGGTGGTCATGAACGGAGCGCCGGTGGCTGCCGGGAAGCGAGGAGCCGGGTTGTGAACGGCTGGGAGTAAAAGCTTTGGTGCTCTGGTGCTTTCGTAGGCGGTGACTAGCAAGAGTGGATGCCGGAGAAGGAACGGGGATCCAGGACCTTTTTGAGCTTGCGGCGGCCGCGACGACGAGCGAGCGTGGACGTCATAGAAGAAAGGGGATCGGGATTTGGTATGGGAACAGGATTAGCGACTTTTTATTGAAAAAAACATAGAGGATTAATTGGCAGGTTGCATTGAGATTCGTTTTTGGCAGTGCCCTCTCGGGAAGAAGGTCTACGATCGGGATTTTCCACCGCGGATCCTACTCCAAGCTTCAAGTCCAAGCACACCCCGTGCTGGCTGCTGTTTTGCGTCCTACGCCTCGAGTCTCCTCACCGACTGCCATCACGGTCCCACCTCGGGCTCCCCGGTCATCCCCTCGCCTGCACAGTCTCCGGTCGGCGCCCATCCACGTCGTCGTCGGACCGGGTCGGCGTCAAAGCGAGCACACCCCACACGCTGCGCCGCCCTGCCACTGACACTGGGGCCACCCTCCAGAACCCCACCGGTAAGCGGCGTCGGTCGTCTAGAGTCCAGAGTGACGCGAGGCTGGAGGAGGACGTGGCGGCCCGCAGGAGAGAGGAGAGGAGTGGAGTGGCGTGGGCCCGACGGCCATTCCGCGGTTTTAATTATTCGGGCCATTTAAAAGGGATGGCACGGCGTGGCGTTGGTTGGCCTCCGTTCCACTCCACGCACGCCCCCCTCATTTCCATTCCACCTTCCCACCCATCGCCCTGCCTGCCTACCTCTTCCCTCTCTCCCTCGTCCACGCCTCCGGTCGTTCCCCTTCTTCCCTCTGCTGTCCACTCACCGGACGCCATGACGGAGGACGCCGAGGGATGTGTTGCTGTGGCGGTGGCCGAGGCGGCGGGCATCATCTGCTCGCTCCGCGCGGCCGACCTCGCCGGGTGGACGCCGCCCTGGAAGGCCAGCGGGCCGCCGTCGTCCGAAGCCGCGGCGAAGGAGGAGACGGCCTGGCCGGCGGTTGCGCGGGGGAAGCGGACGCGGTCGTCGCGCTCTGGCTCCGCGGCCAACAAGAACAAGGGGCGATGGGCCCGCGGCAGCCCCGCGTCTCCGCTCGACTACAGCGGCGGCTCCGGCTCCGGCGCGTCCACCAGCGGCGGCGAGGACGGCGCCTTCTGCTCGCCGCCGGCGACGGTCGCCCTCGCCCGCGGGCACGCCGTGGTCACACCCACCGCCGCCCCAGCTTCTTCCTCCCTGGCCAAGGTACGTAGACGAGCGCGCGCGTCCCCATCTGCAGTTGCTGCTTTCTTCTTCCCCTCCATTCTTTCTCCTGTCTGTCTCCTTTCTCGTGGTCCGTTGGCTGCCTGCCTGCTTTGCGTGCTTTCCGTTCGTTCGTTTGGCACGGACGAAACTACCCCTCCACGGGGTCACCACCGAGAGAGGGAGGGGAAGAGCAACGGCAACGGTGGATGACTTGGCGATGAAACATCGCTTTTCCTCCGCACCTCACCCGCTTTTTGTTCGCCTGACCTTTTCTCACATCTTTTATCTTTTTCCGTTACCTTTTCTCTCGCATGTTTTCTTCCGTCGAACTCCAGACACCCCGCTTCTTGTTCCACAGATCCATCGTCCTCGCATCAAAAGTCCAATTGACGGGCGTCAGCTCTGAATGTCAATGGCTTCTTATTTTTTTTATCCCGGTACGGTCGTGTGTATGAATAGCATCCGTCATCGCCATGGTCATTCCGTTTCATTCCACGGTACTACGTGTCGCGTGCTTGACTGCAGCTCCTTCCGTGGCAATTCACAGCGGTTGGTGCGGTGGCGTGGGGATCCGACTCCTCACCACGAGCTTTCACGCCTTTCCCCAAACCAGAGTCCTTCGTGAGGGCAGTGTGGTCATTTAGGGACTCCTCGCGCCGCGGTGGCAGTGGCACCGCCCGTGGGGCCGGGCCCTACCCGCCATGCAGTTGAGAGTCACTCGGCGTCAAACCGGTGCGTCGGCGTTTGGTGGTCGGAGGGTTCCACGTGGCCGCCGCCGATTGGCTAGGCCGTGTGCCCGGGTCGCGCGCTGCCTATGGCTATGGGTATGGCCGTCCGGCCGGACACGGAGGCGGGGGCGACGGTGCTAGATACGGCCTGTCACGGCCACTTGCCTCCCGCCACGTGTACCGCCAGCGCCAGCAGCCCCCACGACGCCTTTCGGTTGGTGACGCACGCGGTACACTTAACGCTTTCCCAAACCGTACCTGCATGGCCTCGCTCAGGCCCCACACGTCATTGTCCCCGTCGAAAAGAAACCATTTTTCTATCTATATATTTATTCACTTATTTAAAAACTCCAAGTGTGTAGATAGGGTGACAGATGAGCACTGCCGATGGACCGATTCAAAAACTCAAAACCGTAATGCGTTTCACGTGAGTTGGCGAGTAGAAATGTGTGCATGCATGCACGAGCGGGGCTGGTGCATTGTTGGTGGGGAGTTAGTTTGGCCGGCTGGCTCATCCATCTCATCATTCCTTGCATGCCTTCACCCAGTTTCCTTTCCTTTTGATTGATAATAAAGAACGTGTGTCCTCTGCTGTTGCTTTCTTTGCGCTGGTCGTTGGTTGGTTCCACTCTCGCTTTCTTCTTTATACCAGCACCAGCAGCATATCCTAGCTAACAACTGATCTTGTAATTGCTCTTCTGCTGCTGCTGCTGCAGGTTGGCTCTGCGGGAGGAGCACGGCGCCCATTGATCCTGCCGGTGCCGCCGCTGCCCCGCATCGCCGGCCAGAGGTCGGGGAAGAAGATGGTAAGTTCGACACTCGCTCTCTAGTCTCTATCATACATTGAAAGCAAGTTTGGCTGGTCGTAGTATAGTAGTACAAAGGCATGTTTAGATAGCTAGGCAGGCATTTTTCAGCATTTGGTTCATAGGATAGAAATGTTGTAGGAATAGGAAAATCATATCCTATAGAAATCCTATGACCTTCAAACCAGAGGAGGCCTTATTGGGCCTATACCGCGTCAGCAGTTGGGCACAGTCCACGCAGACCGAGTCGGTCGTAGGAGAAGCGAGGCTGTTCAAATGGCTGGCATTCTTAATTGTTTTTAGTAGCTTGGCCTGGTGGAATAAAGCGTGTGGTGCACCCACTTGCTGCCATTGGAATCGAAGATGGAGAGAGAGAGTGCTTGGCGTCCAAAGGGCAGGAAAGGCAACAAAGCTGCGTGCCTCTGCCTGCCCAAAAGGATCCTCACATCATCAACGCCGGATGGGCGGTCCGGTCCGGTCCTGTCCCAGTGGGATCGATGTCCCAACTCATGACCCATTGCATCAGATTGCTCATAGAGAAATGATGAAGGAGCAAAATAGATTAGCTTTTTTGGGCTGCTTGATCTGGCCTGAACTTGTGCTGTGATTTGCTGCAGAGGCTCCCGGAGGTGAAGCAGCTGGTGCTGTCCCTGTCGGCGGAGAACGTCGGCCTTCGCCAGGTAATACCTTTTTGTACATTTCCCATTCTATGAAGATTCTGTCGCTAATTTCACACAAATTTGCATCTAAGTTCTTATTATTCGCTTTCCTTTGAACAGGAGATGGAGTCGCTGCAGAGGGCCTGCACGGGGCTGTCCAAGGAGAACGGCAGGCTAGAGGTGAGTGACACTCCCTCACGCGCACCATCATACCAATCTTAACTTCTCCTGCCGTGTCCATTGCGTAGCATAGATAGATGCTTCTGGCTTGGGTGGGATATGTACTCCGCCGAGTGGACAATCATAAGCATGAAGAAAGAAAGATAAATAGCTTGGGCGCCTCCACTTGCATTGCATGGAAGAGCAGCCTTAAAGCACAAGTGAGTGAGTGAATCGATGGCAAAAGAATAACAATGAAAAAAAGACCGTCCTGAGCCTCCCAGCGGGGCACCACACCACTGGGTGGGTCCTGCCTTGATCTCTCCGTGATGTGGTTCGTAGCACGATTTTGGGTTTGATTTGATGGTCGCAACCCTCTCTCTCAACCACCGTTGTTGTTGTCCTTGGGAGAAAACTGAGTGCGACCGGTGCCGTCCGGATAAGCTTTAGGCAGGTTAAGACGTGGATTTTCGTCGTCGTTGTCTTGGGGTGGTGTCGCTGTCCATGGGTCCGGTTGGGTTGGAATATGCTGACAGTTTAAAGGCCTCAGCGATGCCATGAGCCGGAATTCCTGCTCCGTTATCGGTTACTTTCTGAACTGAACGCATGCCATTTTGTATTCCGAATTGGAAGCTCTGATCCCCTTTGCCCCAATGGTAGGTTGGATACTTGAGTGTGTGTGTACTACTTGGGCGTGCTGTGTGCGGAAATGGATGCACAGTAATTTAGCAGTAGGTGGAGGTCTTGCTTGGTGTTCACTGGCCGCACGTACGCTGTCCAGAACAGAATCCTTTGCGATAAAGAATGCCAGGTTGCCGCCGACGATCCTAGCTAACCTGCAAGCAAGCAAATGGATCTGCGCGCACCTGCCCGTCCGGGCACGACGATCCCGTGCCCTTCTTTAATGCCCTGCGGCCAGCAGAGCCGCCGCACTTACTATATAATCCATGGGGCATGGTGTACGTACGCACCATCCTCGTCGTCAGCCACGGCTGCCCCGGGTGACACTGCGCTGTGGGTGGCCGTGTGGCGTGTACAGTGTCACCACACCCATGGCTGGACGAACAAGTTGCACTGCGGTGGCAATATGTTTAGGCCGGCCCAACCCACTGAAATGGCCCCTGCTTTTGATTTGCTTTCTCCGGGCTCTCCTCTTGTCTAGCATGGCCAACATCCTGGCCCCTGCTAATGTAAACCACTAACCACTTATGGGTACGCCGTGCCTCTCCCTTGCCAAGTTAATTAGTGCCGTTGAATGAATAAAACGCTGTCGATCCGGACTGTTTTTTTCTTCTGAATTTCCCTCTAGGTTTCCGAGCCCGGTCTGTCGCTGTTGATCCGGGTGTTGGTTCGCTAGACGAACTGAAAGTTTTTGAAACGATGTCTTTGCGTGAAGCTTGCACTCACATTTTCCTTCTGAACAATGTTACAGACAAGGCTGGAGCATTCATCCTCCTCAAGCAAGCGGAAGAGGACCGGGTGCGAAGAGGAGGAGCGGCGGCAAAGGAAGCCGCAGCAAGCTGGTGGCGGCTTCGAGCTCCCTGACCTCAACATTCCGGCGCAGGATGTCGCCGATGCACCAGCGGCGGTTCCCTGATGGCTCGGGAACTCAGTCCATCTCCGGTGGTGGCGCCTGACGGCTTACCTGACAAGTTCATTAACCGTGTATAGGGGAGGAAGCTGAATCTGGGGCTGGAAGGCCTGTTCTCTGATCGTGCCTGCTGGCAGGGAGGCAGAGGAGCCGGTCTTGTTACCTTAGCTTTTTTTTCTTCTTCTTTCGTTTAGTTTTGACTGTGCGTTTTAAGGTAGGTAGCGAGCACACTTTACAGGGTAATCGCGAGGGTGCGATCTCCGATAAAAAAACGGGTAAATCGCCCGAGAGGATTACAGAGGAAGATGAAATGTTTACCAGTTTTTAAGATGAAAATAGGCAGGGTAACGCAAAGCACTTGGATAGGAGCTTAAAAAATATACGTAAATATTCTTAATGTATCGATTTTGTTTAGCGCCTCCACTTCCAATACGACGGTGCAATATTAGACAAGGTGCACCGATGGACTCGAGGTTGCACATACACAACGGACGCGCATACACAACAGACAGAAATATCCATTCTCCCAACCACATCAGATCCTGTCTTGCAGTGCAAGCCAAATGAAGAATTTCCAGCGAGGAGGCGCCCAGGCCTTCCAGAACGAAGTTTGAAAACTTGACCGTGTTCTTCCCAGAAACTGCATCCGGTATGCAGAGGCCGCGCTATAGGAGCCCGGGCTGGAGAGCTTCCAAAGGATCTTATCTGGCACCTCGAGCCGTAAGGGCAGCACGGATGATCTAAGCAAGGCCCACAGCCGCTGGAAAATCCGCCAGCATCACGTTAGTCAGGTTGTTGTATCTAATATCCCCAAGCCACTTGTTGTTTAGCAATGCGTCCTTAACTGATCTTCCCTTCCCCTGGAGTGATCATACCTCGCCGGTGCAATAAGCCACATTGGGAGGCGTGGAGCTAGGTGGACTCCACGAAGCAACCAATCTCCCCATTGCCAATTGTCACCGACGTAGCCGCCGCAAAGAGAACTCTGTCTTGCTGATCACA